GGGTCTTTCTGTGTGGAGTTTGCATGTTCTCCTCGTGTTTGCGTGGGTTCTCCCCGGGTACTCCGGCTTCCTCCCACCGTCCAAGTTAATTGATAAATCCAAATTGCCCATAGGTGTGTTGGCCCTGTCCTGTCCAGGGTGTACCCCGCCTCTCCCCCTATGACAGCTGGGATAGGCTCCAGCACCCCCCGCGACCCTGAAAAGGATAAGCGGAAGGGAATGGATGGATGGTAATGTTTAGATGTGTATGTGTACACTTCACTTTATTAGTAATCTGGTTCATATAGTGGAAGTTTAGCACATTATAAATCCTGTAATGGACTGGAACACCAAAGTGTATTGTCAGGGTGCTCACAGAGATTTAAGTGCTTGTTGATATTTTGTGCTGCAGATGACTCTTTATGACCAGGAGACAGCTGCAGCAGTCCAGGATCTCGAGGTCAGACAGATGGAGATGGAGGTTCAAAGGAAACAACTTGAACAGGTGACAAACACCCCCCTGACTCCCTACCAGCCTCACCTCCTTCACTCTGCACTTCTTCCCTTTGTGTTAGTACATTTCTTTCCAATAGTGACTCTCATTAACCTGGAAAACAATTTCCAAATAAAATGTGTTTCACAACCCAAGTTTTGGTTATAGCCAAAACAGTTACAGCTTCCAGTTAAATGCATGAGACCTGTTACGCTTTGGGTAAAGTCTTGTGAAATGAAATGTGGTTTCACAGATCTTTATATAATTCCCAGCACTGTGACTGTTATTAAAAGTTCCACTGTCTAATCAGTTTTGCTGCTTTTCTTTCATGGTTTTTCCAGCGTTTGTTGAAAGAGCAGGAGCGTGCAGGACGAGAGGACAAGGAGCAAGTAGAGAGGAGAACGAGGCAGGCGGAAAGAGAGGGAGAGAGTTACACAGAGCTGCTGCGTAACGCTGAGGAAGACATGCAGGCTAGTTACAAATTCCAGTGTAATTGTCAAACATGAAGTCGTGTGTCCATCTGGCTTTTCAACAGGAGCAGTAGAGTCACCTAAATCATATTTCTCCACAAACACACACAGAGCCGGGAGGAGTCCCTCGGAGGGGCACGCCAGCTGGGCCTGGAGTCAGACTGGAGGGAGGTGAGGGAACGCCTGCAGCAGGCGGACTCTGAGCAGGACAGGACGAGAGAGGGACTGACAGAGACGGACACTATGGGAGATGTGGCGGGAAGGAAGGTAAGAACAACATGCAGAGCTGGCAAAAATACAGACGTTCTGTACTTAAGAAGTACATACACTTGTGTTAAAAACTTGAGTAAAACTTGAAGTACTGATTAATGGGGGGGCGGCATGGGGTGTACTACACCATATTTGTTTCAAGGCTTTTGTTTTTCAGATTTACAGAGAAATAAAATATTTTAGTTTAGATTATAATTCTATAAAGTAAAATAAAAAAAACATAAAATAAAAATAAAAGATTTTTATAAAGACTGATAAAATGTACATATACCAGTAAAAAGCCACTGACCTTGGGCTGTTAGGCTGGACACTGAATTATTATTAAAAACATCATAACAACAACTTGGTATCAAAGCACAGGGCACACGAGCACACACCAAATCCATCCAGTCTCTTTTTGCCCCCTACTAATGTCAGAAAGTCCCCCCTTCAAGAAAATAGAGTAATGGGAATTTATTTTATGCCATTTTTTTTAGTTTAGATAGCATGTATGCTTTATTTGACATTACTGTACTCGAGAGTGCTTATTCATTATTTATAACCAGTGGAATTCTTGATTATTAAAATAACTGTTTGCTGCAGCCCTAATTTTTATTATGTATTGGCTTGAAAAGTGACAGAATATATGAGTTTTTATTGGGCTTTTGTGTGAGACCTTAAGACAAATCTTTGTGATCCCAGTTGATTATCATCATCCTCTGATGTAATGTGAGCATTGTTCATTTAAAGAATGACTGCTTGTTAATTTGCAGTGGGATGAGGTGATGACTCTCAGAGCTCTGTTACAGGATCATTGCCAACCATGCACTTCAGCATTTACAGGTATTACCCCCTCACTACCACACACAGACACACACAGAGTCTATTATTCAGACTCATCTCAGTGTATTTATTGTGTATCAGATGGTGAGAGGCAGACGAGGATAAGGTCACCATGTTTGAGTAGAGACCCTCTACACAGACACGGTGCCGTCACTCCTGTCAGGACTAACTCCTTCACCACTGCGAGACCAGCAGGAAGTCAGGTGGTGTGTCTGAACAGCAGCTCACCCTCAGAGAGCACCTCCACCAACTGTAAGTCCTTGTTATCACCATGTTTTTTTAAAAATTAAGTGGCAAAATGTATTTCCCCATCGGTTTACCAAAGCTGGGTAGTATTTCAAGTAATGATCTATTGTAACCACCACACGATTATAATCTGATTATAATAATCTGTTACTAATCTGTTAAGTGTTGGAGCACAACTACAAACTGTGAAGCTGCCTTCCTTCTATCCTCCTTTGTCAAATGTGTTTTTGTATCAGTAATCCTTTCTTTCTTTTCCTGTCAGTCTCACTGGACCGAGGTCGGGCCCAGCTGGACAGCAGTGAGAGAGAACTGCTGAAGGAAATCAGAGAACTGAGACAGAAGCTGGCAGCAAGAGCCAAAGAGGGCAGCTCTGCCTCCTCACAGTCTGTCCACACACTGTCCTCTATCTCCCAGTGACCACAAACTCCCTCAAACTCTGGCTTCACAGAGTCACAGAAACATATTCTTATCTCGAGCTCTCTGGAACAGACGGACAGTGAATCAGACCGATGAGCTAACTGCTTCCAAAGAATGTTTTTGCCATCCATCCCTCCACCTTAAAGTACAAATGCAGTCAAACAGCTTCCACTCTTCATCCTCATGAAAACTCATGTTTTAGCAAAACACCAGTCGAGAACAGAAACAGTTTATTTCAGTTTCTGGCTTTGTTTGTGCTTCATGCCATGTGCACATTGTTGCTCACATCAACCTGTAATGTTTGGGTGGTTCTCTCAAAAACCAGCTTTGACTATTTTTCTTTAAGCAGTGTGTAAGACCATCTGACATACTCTCGGTACTGTGTGTAACGGACTCACACACTTCTTCTGCAGAGTCCATAGTGAAGAATAAACTGTTTAAATTTGCTGTCATGTTTTTAACAGATGTGCAGTTCTTACATGAGTCCTTTTTTACTTTAATGTATTTTGTATTTGCTTTATTTAAAACCTATTTGCATAAAAACATTTAAAAATCTACATTGATCTTTGTGTCATTATGACTTTCTTTGTCAGAGTCATGTATTTTTAAAAAACAAACAAACTTTAAATATCTGCAGTCACACTTTTCTGTATTCAGAATGCATTTAGGTTGGGTTATAATTTGGATGAGAGGATTTATAATTTGATTACAGTTAGAGATTAGATTCTACCAAAGCAGAAGTGCAAAAACACTGACCTGTGGGCCTCTTCTCACTGTCTGGGTGTGGCATTAACTGTCATCACTTTTGGTCTTGTGAGCATCCAGGTGTTATTTGACATGAGCTGAAATGGCAGCGATCTCCATTCCTGTCACTCACTGCTTTCTATCTCTCCACCCATGTTTTATCTGTGCTCACCTGCTCTGCATCACTCTGTCACAGGCCATGGGAAGGAAACTGCAAAGCATGCACTGCCCTGTTGTCACTGCCAAAGTTAATTAACAAACAAAAGCACAAACAGGGAGGTATTGGAGCCACAGAATCACATCTAAAAGCAGAATTTCTTTGAATGATGTCTCAAATTTTACAGGCTAATATTTTTTATTCTATCTTTGCATCATTTCCTGTAAATTTCTTTATCTTTACCTTCACAGTTACACACTTGAAGGTCACCGTCTTACACCCACAGTCTGACTGACTCACTTTTCACCTGTCACTTCTCATTATGTTTTAGGAAACCATCTTGCCCTCAGCAGGGGTGGATCTGCCTTTCTCTCTTTACCTGTCTGCATGTCTGAATCAGTAGATCTCTCTTAGAGAAACTGATTTCCAGAGCTGTAACGTCGGCATGCTAACTTTTCTCTAACCTGAAAATAAGGCTTTGTATCCATGGATGCTTCCAACAGTGTGTCTGCGCTGTGGTACAGGACGTCCAAGCCGCTGGGGAAGGTAAGGCGACGTCTCCAAGACCTCCGCATCCCTTCCTCCTCCTATGATTTCATATCTAGCAGCTCTACAGTGGATCTGAGCCACAACGAGAGCGCTCGTCTTGCAGCGGACTGTCTGCTCAGCCGGGGCTTGGAGGATTACCACGAGGTGTTGAGAGCAGAGGGAGAAGTGGACTTTCTGTCAGAGCCAGAGAAGAATTACATCCTGAAGAATGGGAGGGATAGTCACACAGGCTAGAAATATTTCTGTACATCTTAAATGTTCCCATTATCCCAGGTTGTTGCCAGGTTGAGTTGCTTTAAATGGTTTTCCGTCTCATGCAGATGATCCTAGTGAGCAGCATGATGATGGCAAAGAGTTGGAGAGTTTATCTGCTGGCTCAAACTCTCCCGCACAGTGCTCTGAAGTGTCAGCAGACAGTGACTGTACTCTGGCAGAGTCAGGTCAGTGTCAGCTAAAAGGTACTAATAGAGTACTAAATATTTTGTAAAAGTGTTTAAATCCTCTGTAGGTCATTGCACTTTTTGGGGGCAATGTATAATTGAGCTTTCTGTTGCAATTCACTGCTGTTTACTGTTTTCTTTTGCTCCTTTTTATTAGATGTGAAATCGAGTGGTCCTGTGTTGGTTAAACAGATGATTCACGTATTCTTCCCCTCAGACTGCAGGGCAGCTGGCATGAAAGACCTGGTTAGGCAGTTCATCAGAAAGGCTAAACTGGTATGGCTGGAGGTGTCTGTGTGTTTCTTTGTGTATGTTTGTACATGTAAAAAGGAATATACCATGCATACCCGCGCATGTGAAATAAAAACCCAGTGCTGGATCGTGTGAGCTGAGGCAGTGTGAGTGATCTCTGTCACTGCAGGTGTTTGGTAAAGTGATTCCTCAATAACTCATAACCACGTGTCTATAGGCCCTGGCTATAGTGGTGGACAGCTTCAGTGACGTGGAGCTGCTTTGCGATCTTCTGGAGGCGAGCAAGAAGAGAAACGTGTCTGTACATCTGCTGTTGGACCAGCTGAACCTGAACCTGTTTGTTAGCATGTGGCAGGACCTCAAACTCGACAGTAAAAACTTTCCTGTGAGTCCACTCGTCATTCGCTTTCTCACTACCTTCAAATAGCAGCACTATTCTGAAGAAATCAAGAGTAAAAACGTTAAGTATCCATATACATGCTTTATATCTTGTTCTTTTTTATCTTGTAACCATGCCACCTTAAATCAAGCCTGCCAGAGAACCACAGTATCTCTGATGCAACAGTACAGCACAAGCAAACACTGTACATGGAAAGCACCTTCACCAGGCTCTATATGATGACCATGCTGTTTTCTTTTTTGTCTAATGTGATGTGTTTTTCTTTCATGAGCCAGCATTTGATCTTTAAGGGACTTTTCCTAAAACACGCTGCTGCCACTGGATCATGTAACAAAAATGGCTGATGCCCATCCCTGGGATGGGCATTTTAACTCAGTAATCTGTAGTCTGGGCAGGTACCACAATTATCACTTCCAAATTAGGATTTGTTTTCTTAGCCCTGGAGGTTGCTGCTTAAAAGACTGCTTATGACAATCAGTAAACAAATGATACGTTTGTCAAGATAAATATCTACATCCATCAATGATACAGCAATAAAAATACAAATGCTACAGTTTGTGTTAAATAATTGTGTGTGTGTGTGTGTGTGTGTGTGTGCACAGAAACTGTCAGTACACAGCGTCTATGGACAGACCTACTGTGCAAAGACAGGCAGGAAACTGAAAGGTCAGATTGCAGAGAGTTTTATCATCAGTGACTGGACTGAGGTGCTGACTGGTTCATACAGGTATAAACATGCAGGAACATCATCATTATCAACAATTTTTGTATGAATTCTCTTTAATTTTCTGTTGTACAATTAGTAACAGTGTGTGTGTGTGTGTGTGTGTGTGATCCCTTCAGCTTCTCCTGGTTGTTCTGGCAGGTCCATCGGAGTCTTGCTGTTCTGTTAAAGGGCAGCGCAGTCACATGTTTCCTGCAGGAATTTCACAGGCTGCACTCCAGCTCCAAACCCGTCACCGGCTTTGTCACCTTTATCACTGTGCCCCACACTCTTTGCCGACACGCCACATCACATGCGGCCCTTCATAGCAATACTGGTATCAATAAGCAGGCATCAAACCAGACAGGTCTTCAGTGGGATTGGAATAAAGATGCTGAAAACACTCAGACAAAAGCAGCTGGGACAGTTCTACATAAACCCCAGAGCCCAGCACTGGTGAGCAGCTGGGGGGATAACCAACCTCAGCACAGAGCAGACACTGGTACACAAATCCAAAGAAAACCTCTGCAGCTGTACCCGAAGCCTTTGATTCAACCAGAAATGGAGCGTAAGGTGCAGAGTAAATCTGTGGAAAAGCCCAAATATACAATGGAATCTGGACACACAATGCATAATGAAAAAGAGAAGAGCAAATACCAGATTCAGAGTCACTTAAACCTGCCTGATCATACCCACTACATCAGCACTACAGCTGAAAAGAATGCAGCCATTCAAGAGTCAGACCCTCTGCACACTGTGTCCCCGACACACAGACAGCACAGGACTGTACTCTGTGAAACACCTTTGAAGAATTCAAATCTTGATCCTGCAGACGTGGCTACCGAAGGGCTCTTCTTTCAGCAGAGGAACAGAAACACAAACCCTCTGAGGACTGCTGCAGACCTGAACACACAGAGAGGACAGTGGAGCTCCTCACACAGTTTCAAACCCAAACCGGAACTT